GGAAAGTTTTTGCCATGTGTCATCTTCTAAGCAAACATTCATTATAATATTTTAGATTTTCTTTCTAATTTAGTAAATTAACTATAATCATGTTACGTTAATTTAGATTAGTGTTTAAGATAGATACCAACTCATGTAACGTGAATTTAGAAAACTTCTAAAGCTATGTAGTTCAAAAAATAAAATCCCACATTTATTTTAAAGTGTTATAACTTTTTTATTTGCACTCTGATGATTACAAAAAATATATCATAATTTATAACTTTTTATTATCTTTCATATGACACCAATATTAAATATATAAAAATAAAAAAATAATTTAGCACTTAATACATATCTGTTTTTAAAGTGTTATATACGGAGTACTTTTTATTTGTACTATGATTGTTACAAAAAATCTATATCTATATCTATAAATAATACTCCGTACATTTGAAAGATACAATTATGGAAAGTTTTGTCATGCGTCATCTCCTAAGCATACCTTTAATATTCTAAATTAGAAATTAGAATTGTTATGAGTTTGTTATTACGTTAGGAGTATACGAAGTATTCTAGATTTTTTTTTTTATCATATGAAGTATTCTAGATTAGAAATTAGAATTGTACTCAACTTAGAAATCTCCAACAAAAAATATCTCTATTTTTTTAATTGATATAACTTTTTGATTTGTAATTTGATTTTTATAAAAAGTATCTCAAAAATCATGGTTTTTTTAATCTTGATATGACACCAATATTGCATATGTAAAAATAAAAATAATTTTGAATATACCATAGATGGAGGTTTTTGGCTTAATTTTGTAAAATAGATCCAAGCTTTAAAATTAAGATCTCATGATTGTATAGAGTAATTTCATGTTGCATGTAGGGGACAATTTATTTATGGGAATGTTCCCGAAATAGGACTAAAACAGTTTGAAAATTCCAAAATAGGACCGTCATGTTTTTTATTTCCAAAATAGAAGTAATTACTACCATGTTTGGAAAATACTGTAATGTTTGAAATCCGGTACTGCCAAAACATGACAGTAATTAGTCATATTTTGGAAATAAAAACATGGCAGTCCTATTTTTGAATTTTCAAACCTTTTTAGTCATATTTCGGGTAATAGTCTCTTTATTGATTGACTGAAAGTGTCAATAGAATTTGGATCTACTTAAGAAAAATTTGAGCCTCAAACCCTCTTTAAACCGTATCATTAGACTTATTTTTATTTTTATACATACAAAAGATAATAATAATTTATAAATTTTGATATAACAACAACATTAGCCTGCATGATGGCAATTGGTAATTGGAACATTGGGAAGCGACCATGGTTGTTAAAATCGCGAGTTGAATCGTAAAATCGTACGATTTTACGATTCAACATCACTAAACCGATTCAAATCGTAAACAAAATCGGAAATTTAAAAAATCGTATAAAATCGTTTTAAAATCGTATACAATCGCTTAAAATCGCGATTGCATCCGATTTTACGATTTTAAAAATTTATGTCTATTTCAGGCAGAACACGGGCCAAATCTCAAGCCAAACGCGGCCCGAATAACTTTAGCCCGTTATTGCTTAAGTAGCTGCTGCCTGGCTGTTGTGCGTATGGCACTGACATTATATAGGGAAAGTAGGATGACAACTTTCGTTGCGTTTTCGGTGTGGGAAAGTCTCATTTGAGAAATGAGAGAAGAAAAAACCATTTTAGAACAGCAAAATTTCCGCTCTAAACTACGAATCAAACCTGCACGGCTGCACCCCATTGTTAAAGGAGCAAATTAACTTTACCAACTCACCAATACCAACTGTTGATTTGTAGGAGTATTAACGTAGCTATAGAACGTGATTTAGTAAATTTGTAAAAACATAGTTATACTATTTCAACTACGTAGTGGAGTAATGTTTATACAACGTTTCCAATCTAAAACTTGATTACTCCGTAAGTACTTATAACATTGCATTTATTTATTGAGTGACTTTTATTCTTGGTTACATAACATTATTTTGTGCACTTTAATTTGCAATAAATTAAACTTGAATACATCATTATAAGAGTTAAACATATAGTGGTTTAACTTAGAGACTTAAATTTGCAATAAACTAAAGTATTAATTCATGTTAAATTGTATGTATCCTTTTATAATATGTTTAGTAATTTTTATTTAATTTTTTAATAAAATCTTACGATTTACGATTCGATTTTGCGATTCGATTTTTAAATCCTTATTACGATTCGATCAAAAAATACGATTTTAACAACCTTGGAAGCGACATAAGCAATTAGTTTGTTTTACATCAAAATTAAATAAAAATAAATTGCTATAACTTTTTATATTTTTAATTTAATTTTTACAAAAAATGTACCGAAATTCATAGTTTATAATTATCTTTCCTATGACACCAATATTGTATATATAAGTCTAAAATAAATCCAAACATACGATTGATGGATGCATTTTATTTATTTCCTGAAAGTGTCAATAGAAAACGCTTATGATCCACTAAATTTTAGAAATTGAATCCACTTAAGAAAGATTTGGAGCCTAAGAACCTCCATCTATCAGCTATATATTTAGATTGATTTTTATTTTTATATATGCAATATTCGTGTCATACGAAAGATATAATAATTTATGAAATTTGATACTTTTTTTTTGTAAATCCTTATTATAAATAAAATAAGTTATAACAAATTTAAAAAAGGGAATTTTTAGCGTCATTTGTGTGTTCTCATTTCCCCTAACTTGCTAGCGTCCTTTGTGTTTTTTTTAAGAGAGAAAGCCATTAACTGAGCATTTTTGTTGATTCTATTTGAGTTGGTTTTAAATTAATATTTTAGAACTTAATGTCCCTTATTGACACTTTCAACCAATAAATAAAATATCCCCTTATTGCAACATGTTAAAAATTATTTTATTTGTACATATACATTATTGGTGTCATATCAAAGATAATAAAAGATCATAAATTTTGATATATTTTCTATAAAATCGGATTACAACCTAACCCATGAAATACAAATGGAAAAATACCAAAAAGAAAATTAAAGACTAAGAAACAAACTCGCTAAAATGTTATGAGAAACACTTTTAGTAAAAGAAAAAAAAGGAAATTTTTTCTTACATGGGTTAGCTTTAGTGAATCTAGGGGCACATAAAGCAATTCCCTAAGTCATCACCAACTTCTCAATGAGATTCTTGAGTTAGAATAAAATTGCCTAGCCGATAGGTATAATAATCATTTCCTTACTTTTAAGCTGCACCCATACAACTTTAATGATATCACTATACTTGAAAACTCAAATCTTCATAATTTATCATATGGATCATATCATACTATATATAAGTCTATAACTTAGAGAGCGGGTTTACACGTAAAACTTTGTCAGTGACATATCGATTGCATAAACATTGCTCATACTCAATTATTTTAAAATGCTGTCATATTTTAATCGATAAATATATGCATTCTTCATATCAAATACTTTCCACGTTCCTTAAAATTCTTCTCACTTACCTTTTTGGAAGCTCCCAAAAATTCTTCAAATTTTCTTTTTTGGAAAGCTTTGTGTGCCTAGCATTGATTTATTTTTTTTCCTAATCAAACATGCACAACCATGCATTTCCACTTTATTCTCACTTTCTTAAACTCCGATCCAAGTCAAATCCAGAAGAATTTCATGACACGGGGTGAGTATCTAAAAATTTGAAACAAATATTACTGACCCCCAAACATGGAATGCCCAAACATTTCTTGCAACATAAATCTTTGATGTTTTCTTAATACAAATTCAGGTATCGACTTTCTCAAAAGGCAACGTGCACCATTGTAGAATTTTCGGATGATATCACATTCTAATAGATCTCAATCTCTCTTGAAGATATAATTGATGTATGTTAAAACAATAACATTATAACCCGAACTAATGTACTTAAATAATTCTTTCATTTATGTACCGCTGCCATGAAAATCTGAAACCTAAATGTCTTATACAGACCAAAACTACACATAGAACGGATCAAGGAAGATTAGATCAAACCAAGTCAGAATTCGACAGTTTCAAGGTACACATAGAACAAACATGTATTAGATCAGTTAAAGGAATTTGCATTATCAACCAATGCTATAATCGACTAAATAACTGATTTCTGTTAGTTATAATCGACTAAATAAGCAATTTCCGTTAGTTATAATAAACAATACATATGCCGGTGCGCATACCTACATACATGGTAAGACAAAAAAAAACATTTTATCCCGTGCACGGCACGGGTAAAGATACTAGTAATTAATATACTCAATTTGGAAAGAAAATCTATAATATTTAATGAGTGTTTATTTAGAAGATGACATGTGGCAAAATTTTCCATAATTGTATCTTTGAAATGTATAGATTTATAGGTAGATATACTCAATTTGGAAAGAAAATTTATAATATTTAATGAGTGTTTATTTAGAAGATGACATGTGGCAAAACTTTCCATAATTGTATCTTTATAGATTTAGAAGCTGTTCCGTTCGTCTTAATCTTATTACTTATTCCTTAATCTTATTTTATTCAAATAAGATCAGATCAAAAAAATTCATATCAGATCAAATCAAATCAAAAAGATTAAGATCAGATCAGATCAGAAACGTTCAAATCAGATCAGAAAGATTCAGATCAGATCAGAAAGATTCAGATCAGATCAGAAAGATTCAGATCAGATCAGATCAGATAAAAAAGATTCAGATCAGATTAGATCAGATCAGAAAAATTCAGATCAGATCAGATTAGAACGTAAAAAATTCAGATCAGAAACATTCAGATCAGGTGAACGGAACAGCTTCAATTCTTAGATATCATAGATAAAGATATTGGGGAATGAGTATCTCGTGTCTTCCAAAGTTTCCATGTTTTACCGTACCAGTCCCGGAAATATTAGGACACACAAGTTTATATACTACGTAATTGCGAAGGACATATTAAGGCACGCCATTTAATGTATACGCACCAGCCATATGCCCATATAGTAGTATATTTTAATTACTATCTCCGTCTCTTGGTATTTTAATTAAACCCTAGTGATAATTCGATCAAAAACGCAGGCGGTCGCGCCATTATCTTCTTCCTTGGATCTCTCATGGAAGACGCAATCAGAAAAGACCCAGTGCTAATGCTTCCCCGAGAGCTGAGCCGCCATATATTTTCATTTTTGCCGGTGAAGTGCCTTTTCAGATGCATGCCCGTCAGCAAACAATGGCACGCCTTCCTTAATGAAATAAGAAACAGCCATAACGGAAAACTGCAACTTCTCGTCATCTCCTCCCGTCGAGATTACTACGGCAAAAAGAAGTACAGAGTGAGGTCAATCAACCCCGATCTCAGCCTTCAATGGGTGTCCTCGTCTCTATTCACCATCAACGGCCAGGACTTGAGGTTCTTTGAAGTTGAATTTCCACCACGCATTATGGATTCTTGCAAAGAGCTTGTTCTTGTTTCTACCGGAACAAAGATCGTAGTGTGGAACCCACTTACAAAGTGGTTTAGAATTGTGTTCGATCCTTATAATAATGAAGTTTGTAGCGCTCAAGACTGTGTTGAGGTTGTTGGGTCAATTTGCTATGATGTCTCCATCAAAGACTACAAAATTGTCCTTGTACTTCGCCGTTTTGCTAATCATCGTCACTTTGTTTTTACAACCCGATGTGTGAGTTTTGCATGCTTCAAAAGCAATACGTGGAAGAATTTGGCGTTCCCTAGCGGAGTGCACTCCTCCAGAAGCAGCGTCAACTTCCGCAATACATTTCATTGGTCACTATGCCACGACGTCCATATCCGGTCGTCTCCATTTAGGAATATACCTATCGGCCGCAATAATAAGATTGCTTATTTTGATCCCGTGAATGATGTGTTCAAAATATTGCCCTCTCCTGAACCATGTCATCGCGAAGAAGACGATTGGATAGTTGGCATGGGAATTGTAAATGATTGCCTTTGTCTAGCTCGTTTGGACAGCGAGACACGGACCGTTCAGATTTTGGCCATGAAAGAATATGGAAACGGAGAGTCGTGGTTCAGAGCATTCGACATCTCTTTGTCCAAATTTGGTTGTGATGCTGAAGATTTGTACACCTTCAATTTTTTCTCTCTAGAAAAGAATGGAAAAGTTTTCATGAAATACGGCCATAAGAGGAGAACTCTTGTCTATGATCCGGTCAAAGAAGATGTTTTCACGGTTGAGAGTCTTTTACCTGATTCAGAGACCAATCTTAGTATGTGCTTCTATGCTCAAAGTTGTGCATCCCATATGACCAATTAAGTTAGAGATAGATACGTTGTAGTCAGCATATCTGATGGTCAATGGATGCATCCTATACTACATTCTTCTATCGTTGTGTTATCTATCAATAAAATTGAAATAATTGTGATTCCCAAAGTTGAGAACGACAGTTAGAATACACAAAATTGATTACAGAAATTGAGAATACATGAAGGAGTATTTTGTTAATCTTGTGGTTATCCACTCATCTGAATAGATGAGGCTCGGAATCTATTCAGTAGCAAAATAAAAATAATGACTTTTCTGATTGTGTTTATTACTTTGAGCTTAGCTTCATTCTGAAATATAAAGGTACCCTCATGTGATCTTTTGTTTCATTCATCTTTTGCCAAATTCGGAGACCAATATAATCATAGTATGTGCTTCTATGATTGACCAGCATGAAATTTTGTATATAATTTTTTAAAATTTGCGATGGACCAGCATGAAATTTACTTATACTTCTTATTTTTTTTAATTACACAAATTAAATTTTTTTATTATAAGTTCTAATTATGTTATTATTTTTAAATTAAACTTTGTTTTAATCAATATATATAAGAGGAACTTTTTAAGAGCATATAAAGCGCCACATAATCATGTCATGTCATGATATATTAATTATTTAGTTATTTTGAATCCTTCTATTTTTATTAGCTAGATTCTGTTTTTGATTGCATATTGATATGAAAACAAAAATCCATAGAAATCTACCGTAATTAATTTGGTAACTTTTTCAAAACTCTTTAATATAGTAAAATATTACAATTAACGTATTATCCTAAACACTTGTAGTTGTTATCTTAATTTATACATTATTTTTTAAGCACAACAATTAATAACCAAATTTTAAGCACAGACTCACGGAGTAACAATCATTTAATTATTTATTTTTTATTACATTGTATTAAAGAGATGATGTATTCGTTTTTGCCCACTTAACAGATAAAACAATCAAATTGCTATTAATTTTGTATTCAAAGTAATTTGATAAAAATAAAAAAAAATGTATTAATAGAGTCCCATTTCCTAAAATGTAATTTAGAAAAGTATTGTTTTGAAATTCTCAATAAAGTAATTTAGATGTTCATAACAGTTAAAAATTGTTTTCAATGTAACAAAATAATGAGTAAAATGTTTAAAAAAACTCCATTTTCTTACAATTACGGTTTGACGAAATAATTAGGAAAATGTAACATCTTATTATTAAAAATTAAAAGTATGTACTCAGTATTTCACATCAAGTTGAATGAGGATTAGTAGAAGAAAAAACTTGAGGTGCATCATAAAATAATTTAGAGGACGTGAGATTATGAATTCTTTAAAATCAGGTTCAGAACAATTATATTTACTTTTTGCAAAAAACAATTATATTTACTTGAGATGCTGTGTAGAAGATCAATTTAACTATTTTCATATAATCTTTTCTTGCCTTTACAAATGAAATATATTTTACATATTTTTTTCATTATTCAGGAGATTCCACCCATTCAGCCAGAGTTTAATCAATTCCAGTAAAATAAGTTAATTCTATTTATTTTAATATTATCAAATTAGGCTAAGTTATATATTATTAGGCTAAGTTTATTTTTCTTTTAAATCACATTGATCCGAAAGAAATCAAATTTCAAATTAGCTAAATTTCATACTGCCCCGTGCATCGCACGGGCTTGAAAGCTAGTTATTTTATATTCTTAATGGTGTAAGAAAGAAGTAAAATACTTCTAAAGGAACGAGTAATATATGATTAAAAAATAATCCTTTCCGATATACCGTGTACATTATTTAATTATCTGAAAAAGCATTAGTGTAACAACTAATCGGTATATACTAGCGGGTAATCTATGCAAGGAACTTTATCCCCACCAACAGGGATCCCTATGTCTTATTTTATTTGGCATTTTGGAAACACTTAAAATTGGATGACATGTAATTAGAGAATGATGTGGATAAGCTAATGTGGCTACTGACAGTTATAATGAGCTGAGATGACATGGCAACAAATACCATATTTTGGAAAGGTGACAACTCCGGTATCCATTTAAAAAATGGGGTATCATACCTGTCATTCATTTGATTGGTTCACATAGGTATATCATTTTTAATTTAGACTTAAATAATTCAACTCCAATATTCTGATTGGTCCATGTGGACAAATGTATGGTATCTTATGGGTACCATAGAATGTACCTTTTAGAAAATTATTATATAAAAAATAGTTAAATTGGTCTTTTAGCAACAACATTGGGTTAAATCAATCAGAAAAACAAATTTAAATTAACAAATTTATTTAGATTATTATTACATGAAAAAATATGAAGGAGATAAACTTAAAACAGATGTTAACAAATAGATTTTAAATCCATTCAAAAAATAGACTTTAAATCACTCATAAATAAAAATAGAAGCAACACGTAACTGCCTTAATTAGTTTACATTTATACATGGAAAATGTACTTACACTACTCCATTCGTATTTCATAAGTGTATTATAATTAAAAATGGGTGTGATATTAATTAGACCTGAACAAAACCGGGCTCGGGCCGGGCTCGGGCCGGGCTTTTTATAAATTTCCTGCCCATTAGGAGTGGGTGGGCCCGGCCCGGCCCGCAAAAACGGGCCTATCCCCATGATCATACCCGCCCGTTAGAGCGGGCCGGGTAGTCCACCGGGCCGCCCGGGCCAGAAAAACTTTAAACTTTTTTAAAACTATATAATTTTTTTAATACATTTAAAATAATATTACAAAGGTTTTTCCCTTGAATATAACTAATAAAAAAGTTTTGAACAAAAATATTACTCAATAACTATTAATTACTTCAATTCTATTCAAAGTATACACCATACTAACAAACATGTAATTACTATGATATGTATTTTAAAACAATTATACTCACTACAAGTCATTAATATCCACCACATTTTAAAAAGTAATATTAATGGAATTTTTTCATATTACAACATTTTAAAAATTGATACCACGATTATAATGTTTAGACCTTTCACCACATACACAAAAATACTTACACAAAAATAATTATGAAAAACTATAACTAAAACTTAAAATTCAAGTACAAAGTATCATCTTAAAGTACAAAAAGGATATTATATCAATTGGGCTAGTTTTTGCTCGAAGAAAACTTAATTCATAAAAATAGCATTCAGCAAGGGTACAGAACTAGGAAAAAACCACAAATAACCATCCGCCTGTGGCCGAGACTGAGAGCTAACCACCTGTAAATAAGCAGTATAACTCGCTAGACCAAATTTGGGCAAATTAGAGCTAATGACGGTTACCGCAGATTCTTCCTCCCCCCACCTTAATGCAAGAGTCTTACAGCAAAGGAAATAATAAAAGTAAAACAGAACAGTCTGACCATGAAAATTAAAAAGCAAGCAAATAATAAAACTAAAATACTGCTTCCAAATCCTAGACTCTCCTGCACTCCATGGCGGCGGCTCAGGAGGGGGCCGATCCGTGATGACTACCCCTACCGCCGGAAAACGTCTCGGTTCCTGTTCTTCGCCGGCTACCTCCTTTGTCTCCTCATCGAAATTCAATTCACTCTCTTGGTCTTGCATAGCCATCTTCTTATACGAATCAATCAAATCTTTCATCTGCCAGGCGACCACCCCTCGTCGTCCTACCCTCGAAGCACCGCTGCCAGCGATCTTCACCCCAAAACCAATCCGAGAGATAAGCTCTCGATTAAACTGAAAAAACATTCCCAAAACTCGATCACCAGCCGAAGCCGAAATCGGAAAACAAAACCAGCCCTAGCGGCAGAAAGCCCTAGGAAGAACGAAGATATTGAGAGTCAAGCTCTCGCTCCGTATAACATATACCATCAATTGGGCTAGTTGTTAATTAAGAACTACAAACTTAAATTTAAACGTAATAAACCATAAATATGTATAAAGATAAATTAGTAAATACAAATATACATGTGCACCTGCAAATAAATAAATTAGTTTATACATAAATATATATGGATATATACTAAATATAGCGGGCCGGGCTTATCGGCCCGAACGGGACTACACACTAACCCAAGCCCGCCCGTATGCTATTGCGGGCCCGGCCCGGGCCGGGCCGATGGGTAAATATATGTGTCCAAGCCCGCCCATTTGAGCGGGCGGGCCGGGCGGGCCTGCCCGTTTTTGTGCAGGTCTAATATTAATGCATTTTAACGAACAAAATATGGGCAATAATTTACTCCGCGTATATACTTCCAAATTAGCAAATTTACCAAATCAATAACTTCGACACTAATTTATTTAAATCAATAATTTATTTTTCACATTCATTTCTCATTATGCCCTTATTTTGGGTGGCAAAATTTCCTGCAAAAGTAGTACAACTCTGCTACTTTATATAATATAATATATAATATATATAAAGATTTCTCATTATGCCCTTGTTTTGGGCGGCAAAATTCCCTCCAAAAGTAGTACGACTCTGCTACTTTATATAATATAAAGATAAAGATACCAAACTGAAATAAATAAAACAGTCATTTCTATCAAACATTTGTCACTTTTTCTGTTAGTTAAGATCTTTTCAACCACTAAAAGCTAATAGTTAATTAAAAGCTTACAAAAGTATCTTTTCAGCAACTACAAAAAAATAGAGGATGACACGAATTTGAAATGATTTTGTCGATGATTTTGTGACAAATAGTTTGTGTTGAAGTGTTTTTTTACACAAATTTAATTTATCCCTACCACATCTTCTATGAATTTTGGCGAATACCAGCCAAAATCTGTGCCAAACTCATATTTTTTGTAGTGTTGGTCTGATTTCGAATAGCAACTAATTGTCTCATTACAAAAATCCAAAATTTTACAAATAGTGATAAAATATGAGTAACTAGTATCTTTACCCGTGACTTGCACGGGATAAAAGGATTTTATTGTTTAGTTTTAGGAACGGGAAATCATCTTTTTTTGAAGGAAAACGGAAAATCACTTATTTAGTTGATTATAACATTTGTTTAAAATTCATATTCTAATTAATTGTGTATACTTTATTTTTGAACTAATTCTAAATGTGTTTGCAGTCTATAATTTCCAATGAAAAAGCATATTCTTTATAACTCTCAGTTGCATACTTG